CCGTGCCTCCGGACCCTGCGCCGCCGGAGCAGAGCAGCTGGAGCCGGGGAGGAGAAGTGCCCAGCTGGTGGCTCGGGGTCTGGAGGCACGGGGGCTGCCCAAAGCCGGTAGCACTGGCTCGGGCAGCTTAGCTCTTAAACAGAGCCGAAGTCTGAGTCAGGGGAGGAGCAGAGCAGCTGGAGCCGGGGAGGAGAAGTGCCCGGCCGGGGGCGCAGGGTCCGGAGGCATAGGGGCTGCCCGAAGCCCGAGCACTACCGAAGTCTGAGTCGGGAGGAGCAGAGCAGCCGCGGGAGAGGAAGTGCCCGGCCGGTATTTTTCCCGGACATGTTCGGCTTTTTGGCAATTCCCCCCGGACGGGGGTTTGATTGCCGAAAAGCCGGACATGTCCGGGAAAAACCGGACATATGGTAACCCTAGGGTACGGGTGGGGGAAGGAACTCACCTGTGAGTGTGACTTTCCCCCAGCGTGAGGTGAGGCAGGCTCGGCGGCTCTGGCACCAGTATCCTTTGTTGTCCCCCATAATGGCCATTCTTCTCCCCCCCCCCCAACGAGCACCCCCCATCCTCCCCCCTCCCCTCCGGCAGGGCTGGGTTGGGTGAGGTGCTGGGGAAGGAATGAAAGTGCAAGTAACTCACTTCCTCAGCAGCCAGCCAGGATTGGAATGGTCACACAGGGCTGGGCTGGGGATAGGGTGACCAGATAGCATGTGCGAAAAATCAGGACGGGGGTTGGGGTAGGGTGAGCAGATGTCCCACTTTTATAGGGACAGTCCCAATTTTTGGGTGTTTTTCTTATATAGTCTCCTATTACCTTCCCACCCCCTGTCCTGATTTTTCACACTTGCTGTTTGGTCACCCTAGGTGGGGATAATTGGTGCCGATATAAGACAAAGCCCCAAATATCATGACTGGCCCTATAAGATCAGGACATCTGGTCACCCTAGCTGGGGAGCGCGTCTCTCCCCCGGGCTGGCAGCGATCCATCTCATCCGGGGGAAGCTGCACAGGGCAGGATGAGCTGTGGTGGCTCCATGGGTGCCCTGTCCCTGAGATCAGATGCAGGGCTAACTTCACCATGGTCCGTGGGGCTGGCGATGGTGCCCATTGGTGTGTGATCGGACCTGAGGGTTTTCTGCTGCTATTGCTACTATGCACCCCAAGAGGTGGTTTTTGGGGTCCTGCAGTTTTCTACCTATCTCCTCCTCTACTGCAGCTGTGGGACCAGCAGGCTGCGGGTGAGCCAAGCATGAAAGCAGTACTGTGTTGCCATTTAGATTGTCATTTAACAACTTTGTTTGCCAAAAATGCTTGCTAACAGTCCTGAATCCAATTTCAATACTTTTTTTTTTAAATCAATATCTTAGCCAAAAAACAGAAAATTAAGTTGTTGACAATTATTTGTGACAGGTTTGGTTTGGGGCAGGGAGTGGGCCAGTTTTCATCAGAGAAACAAAAAATGTTGACAGGCTTTCCTATAGCCCTGTTACTGCTAAATAGAGCCTCCAACAACTGTAATATGCTCATCTCCTTACTAGTTGTCAAGGCTGTATCCCCACTTTGAACTTTAGGGTACAAATGTAGGGGCCTGCATG